AAGTTAAGGCAGATAGGAAAATAGGAATACTGACAACATAAAATGCACAGCAAGTCTCAGTCTCTTTGACCTAATGGCAAATAGGCTTCACCTATGGCAGTTGCCAGTGGGAATGCCACCAGGCTATAGTACTTGTAACTGATGTTTCCAATAATCAGCAATTGAAAGTTAAAGGTTGCTCAACACTGGATTTTGTTTTTTGTTTTTGTTTCTTTGTGTGTGTTTTGTTTTTTGTTTTTTGGTCTTTTTGAGACAGGGTCTCTCTGTAGCCCCGGCTGGCCTGGAACTCGCTTTGTAGACCAGGCTGGCCTTGAGCTAACAGAGATCCACCTGCCTCTGCCTCCTGAGTGCCGGGATTAAAGGCGTACACCACCACGCCCAGCCTATTTTTTTTAAAAAACTTTTTTTTTTTTTTTTAATGTGTATGTCTGTACTGCCTGCATGTAGTTAAGTGCACCCGTGTCGTGCAGTGCCTGCAGAGGTCAGAGGGGGCTGTCGGATCCCCTGGGACTGGCGTTACGGACAGTTGTTAGCTTCCATGTGGGTGCTGGGATTCGAACCCAGGTCTTCTGCAAGAACAACCAGTGTTCTTAACCGTTGAGCCATCTCTCCAGCCCTATTATTATTATTTTCGTTAACCAAAAGTTTCCTGTAAATTTTCCCTTTAATCTCTCTCTAATCATATCATAGTGAGCTTTTCTCTCTCTCTCTCTCTCTCTCTCTCTCTCTCTCTCTCTCTCTCATCTGTGCTCACATGAAGAGGCCAGAGGAGGACATTGGGTGTCTCCCTCCATTGTGCTCTGATTTGTCAAGACAGTCTTTCATTGAACTATAGCCATTTCAACTAGGCCGCTTCCTCGACCTGTGTGTCTGCCCTGCAACCCTGGTTACAGACACATGGAGCCATACCCAGCTTTTATATAGGTTCTGGGGATTTGAATTGAATCCAGATCCTTCTGCTTGCATATAAGTGCTCTTACTCATCTAACGAGCCCTATATGGCCATTTTTTATATTCAGCTTGTGTCTGCTTTAGGTTTTAACAAATACCTAACCCTAATACATTGGGTGTGATAGGCTCTTAATAAACACCAGAATTAATATTTTGGTTGTATAAAATGAATCCAATCATTTTTTTAAAGGTACTATAAAATTAAATATCAAGGAAATTACTTACTGAAGGCTCTGTAATTTTGTTTCTGTTTTAGCAATGGCTAAAGAAATGCAATTAGCTTAATTTTTAGTTTGCTGGCAATTTTCATCTCATTTGTGTATATTCTTTTGGTCAGGAAAAGATTCCAAATAGCTCCTCCAACTGTCCTCCATCTACAACTCCTGATGCTTCAAAACCTCGGAGAACAAAGCTTGCCTTTGATGACAGGTGAGATAAATATATTTTTGTGTGTGCATTTAAGAAATCATTCCATTCAGCATATAGAAACCCATTTTAATATGTCAGTGACTCTGGGGTTAATATTCACACATGACCTACAGAATACTCAAATTTTAATTTAACCTCCTTAGTCAGCTACTGCTCCTTAAATAACTAGTGGCTTTCTTGAGTGATGTGAAGGGGGCACCTCCCAGGGGACTTCTTGCTTCTGGTGTCACTGTTTACCATAAGTGTCCTCATAGCGTGCAGCTTGTGCGCGTGCATGCATGCGTGTACATACTACATTCTGATAGAAGGTAGCTCTTCTGTCTACATCTTTTTTTTTTTTTTCGGTCTTTTTGAAACAGGGTCTCCCGGTAGCCCCAGCTGTCCTGGAACTCACTATGTAGACCAGGCTGGCCTTGAACTCACGAGAGACCTGCCTGTCTCTGCCTCCCAAGTGCTGGGGTTAAAGGCATGCACCACCACATCCTGCCTCCTGTCTACATCTTATTCTTGATTTTTCTTTTTTTTTGGTCTTTTTGAGACAGGGTCTCTCTGTAGCTCCAGCTAGCCTGGAACTCGCTTTGTAGACCAGGCTGGCCTTGAACTCACAGAGATCCACCTGCTTCTGCCTCCCAAGTTCTGGGATTAAAGACGTGCGCCACCACGCCTGGCCTTATTCTTGATTTTTAAACCAATTTGAACAAGTTAGTATTTAATACTAGGAAACTTGATTTCTGTGTGCCTGAGTAGAAGATTTGCCACAAATAGCCCCCAGTAATTCATGTTATTAAAGAGCTTGGTATTATTGTTGTTAAGAAATGTTTAGGGGCTGGAGAGATGACTCAGTGGTTAAGAACACTGGTTGTTCTTGCAGAAAACTGGGTTCAAATCCCAGCACCCACATGGCAGCTAACAACTGTCCGTTACTCCAGTTCCAGGGCATCCAACAGCCTCTCCTGTCCTCCATGGTCATTGCAGGACATGGGTGCACTTACCTACATGCAGGCAATACACATATACATAAAATAAAAACAATAAATAAAATTTTTAAAAAATGTTTAATAGTCACTAATTCCTTGAAGATGTGAAAAATGATAAACTGAAATGACCTAGTAATGCTCTTAGGATGTTTACCATTGTATTTATAAAAAAACATTTATGTTGCAGAAATTATTCAGCAGACCATTATTTACAAGAAGCAAAAAAGCTAAAGCACAATGCAGACGCTCTGGTATGTACATTCAGGTTCCTCAGATCAGCTCCAGCTCCATGTGCTGTTCGTGCTTGATGGTCTTAACTCAGAACCCATTCTCTTGCCTTTAGTCTGATAGGTTTGAGAAGGCAGTGTACTACCTTGATGCTGTGGTGTCTTTCATCGAATGTGGGAACGCATTAGAGAAGAATGCTCAGGAATCTAAGTCCCCATTCCCGATGTATTCAGACACAGTGGAGCTCATCAAGTAAGTGGGAAAATTGGCCTCATCATCAGAATAATTTTAGTTTTCATCTAGAACAGGACTTATCTAACCAAAATAATGAATGGAGAGGGTCCTTGGCCTTCTACTCTCCATCCTTTATTTTCCTTGGATAAGAATTTTAGTGGGTGTTTTATTGAGGTATGATTCTGATGCTTTGAGGACAAAGGAAGTCCTAAGGTGAAGGATTCTCTTTTACTTGATGTTTGTTTATCTTAACTCATAGATATACTATGAAGCTAAAGAATTACTTGGCCCCAGATGCCACAGCTGCAGATAAGAGACTCACAGTGCTTTGGTAAGTGTTGGTGTTTGTGTTGTGTGAGCTTTTCTGAGGATTTCCTTGAATCAGGCTTCCATAAAACCCTGTCACAAACCTGCTTTAATGGATCAAATAGAAAAAGATAGCTCAAAATTCCTACTGAAATATTTTAGTTCTTGTCTGTTTCTAATCCACTGCCATCTTGAAAGCCTTGATGAAGTGAGATGATCCTGGAACCGTCCATAGAATTACGTGAGCACTTTTCCAGGCTCTTCTCTCCATTGTGTTCGCTTTTTCGTAGGACTCATCTGTTTACTTGTTCTGGTGCTGTACTGTGTTCAAGCTCAGAATGCAGCTGGGATTCAATCTCACACAGTCCTGTTCAAAATGGAGTTCATACTCCACCATAAAGACACCAAAATGAGTTAGATAATCACACAGCTCTGTAAACTGAGTTCTCTGAAGGAAGGGTGTGTATGACGGTAAGACTAGAGGGTAGGAAGACTATTCTGAAGTTACAACATGTGCAAGGGCTGTGTGGTGGAAAAGAATGGAAAAGTTTAAAGAACTAAAAGACAAGTGAGTGTGAACTGAGCATGACCGGGTAGACAGGAAGGAGTAATTATGTATGGCTTTGGGTAAGCCGTGTTCGGGCTGATATCTTTCATCACGTTTGTAATGTTCATAGTTTAGTTTTCTTTTCTTTTTTTTTTGTCTTTTTGAGACAGGGTTTCCCTGTAGCCCCAGCTGTCCTGGAACTCACCGTGTAGACCAGGCTGGCCTTGAACTCACAGAGATCCGCCTGCCTCTGCCCCCTGAGTGCTGGGATTAAAGGTGTGCACCACCATGCCCAGCGTTTTATTTTTTAATTTTACATTATTTATAAAATTGGTCTGGCGATGACCCTTACTGAAATTTTAAGAACAACAATTTTTAAGGTATTGTGGTTGGTGTGGTGCTTTTTTGAATATAAGTATCTAATGGCAAGCTAGTCCGAAGTTTCTTAGCCACTTTTTTCCCCTATGGTGTGTTACACAGTAAGAGCATACCTTTTGGTTTTGCCTGTGGGGTGGTTTGTCAACCTTGGGCCATGGTCTACTCACATGAAGCTGGTCCTGTGCTCTCATACAATGCAAAGATTGTCTGTGGAGATGTAGGCAGGTCTGATAAGCGTACTGTCCTTTCCATTGGCTAGCCTGAGGTGCCAGTCTTTGCTGTACCTGCGGCTATTCAAACTGAAGAAGGAGAATGCACTGAAGTACTCCAAGACACTGACAGAGCACCTGAAGGTAAGAGCACAGAGAGTGTTAGTTTTCCTGTCCTCACCCCTGAGAGGCTCTCACTTGGGAGAACTTAGCAAGAGAGGAGCTGCTCCTGTTTGAGAATCATCACACATCTTTGGAGTTTCTTGATGGAGCTTTTCCATTCATGTGCATCTAATCATAGACCTTTCATGCTGTATACAACAGCCCTGTCTGTGCTTGAGAATGTTCTGTTCTCACTGGTGTCCTTCTGCAGACTGCTGTTTGTTGTTTGTTTGTTTGTTTGTTCCTTTCAGTGCTAGGGATTGAACCCAGGGCTTGGACAAGCTAAGCAGGTGCCCAACCACTGAGCCACACAGCCAGACAATATTATCTTAGTTTCCAAAACTGTCTTCCTGTGTGTTTTGTAGACCAGTACTACCAATTCCTCTATAATCCTGCTGTTACTACTTTAGAACCCTTCAGTAATTTACTGTTGCCACAGGAACAAGATCATATTCCTCCCCTGGCCTACAAGGTCCTCGAGGTCGAGGGTCTCTCATTTCTTGTCTAAACCCCTCTTACGTCAACCTGTGTGGGTCACATATACTCTTGTGCCCATTTTTGTCATAGTGTGACTCATCTCCCCATTCCCTCTTGCCTTCATCTCTCTTCTCATTGGTTCCTTGCATTGTCCTTCAAGTCTCCTAGGTCGTCCTAATCTTCGCTTCTGTATGTTACGCCTTTACATGCACATACACACAGACACACTTTTGTTGTTATTTTTAAAATACATTCTATTTGTGTGTGTGACTTGTATGTGCCTGGTATCCTCAGGCCAGAGAGGGTGATGGATCCCATGGAGTTGGAATTACAGGCAGTTGTGAGCTGCCCCACTTAAGTGCTAGGATCTGAACTCAGGTTCTCTGGGGAATTAGCAAGTGCCATCTCTCCAGCCCTGTGTTGTTTTCTAAGACAGAATCTGATGTAGTCCAGGCTGACCTCAACTGGTTATGTACCCTAGGATAACCTTGAACATTCTGATCTTCCCGTCTGGGATTATAGACAGGCATATACTATCACACGAGCATTCTACCAACTGAGCTATATCTAACCATTCTCTGCTCTTCACCCCCATTATAGTGTCTTATATTTATATGTAAAGTTCCTTAAGATCAGCCTTAGCCCAAATACTTTTGAATGCATTTAGTATCTTAAAAGTTACATGTAGTTTTAAGTAAAAAAATTTTTTTTCTACAGAATTCTTACAATAATTCTCAAGCACCTTCACCTGGCTTGGGGAGGTAAGTAAAGTTTTGTTCTCTGAAATACTTTTTTTTTTTTTTTTTTTTTTTTTTTTTTTTTTTTTTTTTTTTTTTTTTTTTTTTTCCGGGGCTGGGGACCAAACCCAGGGCCTTGTGTTTGCTAGGCAAGCGCTCTACCACTGAGCTAAATCCCAAACCCCTGAAATACTGTTTTGGTAAATTTATAATTTATTTATGAACAAGAGTGGGATGGGTCAGGCATGGTGGCACACGCCTGTAGTCCCAGCACTTGGGAGGCAGAGGCAGGTGGATCTCTGTGAGTTCAAAGCCTGCCTGGTCTATATAGTAAGTTCCAAGCCAGCTGGGGCTACAGGGAGACCCTGTCTCAAAAAGACCAAAAAAAAAAAAAAAATGTAGTTAAACTAGGAAAAGTGTGAGAAATCATGTTGTTCAAGAAGAGGTCCTCTCACTCATCACCACAGTTTGGGAGCATTTTGAAAAGTCTGTCATTGCATGCCTGAATAGATGGGCATTGCTGAGCTGGCAGTGAAGAGATCTGCCTCCTGAGCTTTTGAGGTGCTGCTGTAACAAGGGACTTTGACTTCTTCAGTCATGGCCCATCTCTTGTTTTGTTGCCTTTTGTTAAACAAAAGATCTAGAGGTGTTGTTACCTGCCGTAGCTTTTGGTTCTAATTTAGAAGTAGTTTGTTCGTTTGTTTGTTTTTTTGAGACAGGGTCTCCCTGGAACTCACTGTGTAGACCAAGCTAGCCTGGAATTCAGAGATCCACCTGCCTCTGCCTCCTGAGTACTGAGATTAAAGGATTAAAGGCGTGTGCCACCACGCCTGGCTAATTAAGAAGATCTTATGGGTGTCTGGGACCCCTTCTAGTCTGAAAGAACCTTTAAATTCTAAAAGTCTTCGTGTAGGTAAACCCAGAAGTACGGTGATTTGAAAGTGCTGTCTGAACAAGCTTTCTTTGTCTCATGTAGCAAAGCTGTTGGGATGCCTTCCCCTGTTTCCCCAAAGCTGTCACCAGGCAATTCTGGAAATTACTCTTCTGGGGGCAGCAGTGCTTCAGCAAGTGGTTCCTCAGTGACCATTCCACAGAAGATCCACCAGATGGCAGCCAGCTACGTTCAGGTTACATCCAACTTCCTCTATGCCACTGAAATTTGGGACCAAGCTGACCAACTTTCCAAAGAGCAAAAAGGTAGGTAGGCTCTGGGTAAACTTCAAGGGGCGGGATTGTTAGAAAGGTAGGTAGGCTCTGGGTAAACTTCGAGGGGCAGGATTGTTAAAAACTTTTTTTTCCTGGTCTTTTTAGACAGGGTCTCCCTGTAGTTCCAGCTGTCCTGGAACTCACAGAGATCTATCTGCCCCTGCCTCCCAAGTGCTGGGATTAAAGGCATGTTCCACCACGACTTGTTAAAGAACTTGTATGGTTAAATATCTTGGTATACCTTTACTTTACCACCTAGTTTAAAGTTTATCCTAATTGGTTTGATAACAACCTCCTGTGTTTGGCTGTCACATTAAATATAACTGAATTGGATGTAGTTTAAAATACCCCTGGGTTGGGCATGGCTCCTTGGCAGATGGCTTGCCCAGCATACATAAGGCCCTGGGTTTTATCCTAGTGGTGAGGGACACAGTATGGGATGGACTGGTGTGGAGGAAGGGACTCAGAGAGCTCTCATGGTACTGGTGACAAAAGCTAGAAGTAGTTGTGACTGTAAGATAAAGCTCCCTCTATTCTGGCATAGTGAAAGCAGCTTGTGCTGCAATTAGAGGGGGAGGTGAGCAGTGCCTTGGCTACCATCAGCCATCCCCTGTTGTGTCAAATATGCCTTTAAAATATTTATTTTTATTTTGTCTTTTTGAGACAGGGTCTCCCTGTAGCCCCAGCTGTCCTGAAACTTACTATGTAGACTAGGCTGGCCTTGAACTCACAGAGCTCTGCCTGCCTCTGCCTCCCAAGTGCTGGGACTACAGGCGTGCGTCACCACGCCTGCCTATTATTTATTATTTTTATTTTATGTATGTGAGTGTTATGCCTGCATGTAGGTAAGTGCACCTGTGTTGTGCAATGCCCGCGGAGGACAGAAGAGGCTGTCGGATCCCCTGGAACTGGAGTTATGGACAATTGTTAGCTGCCATGTGGATGCTAGCATTCGAACCCGCGTCTTCTGCAAGAACAGCCGGTGTTCTTAACCGCTGAGCCATCTTTCCAGCCCCTCAAATATGCCTTTAAAGAAATAGAACAGTTAGATTTATTTCATGCAGAATTGAAGCCAGGTCTAAACATTGCATCTTGTAAGTAAGTCTGTGAAGTAGCTCACTTACTCCTTTTTCCCCCTTTTTGGTTGCCATTGATGTTGAGAAGAAACTGGGTCATAGAGTATGTCTCACTGTAGATTTGACTGATTATATCCTCATGATGTCACACATTTCTTCTGTTCCTCTTTATATTGATTACATTCAAATTCAGTATTAAGATATATTCAAGAGCCAGGCGTGGTGGCTCATGCCTTTAGTCCCAGCACTTGGGAGGTAGAAGCAGGCAGATCTTTGTGAGTTCAAGGCCAGCCTGGTCTATGTAGTGAGTTCAGGTCAGCTGGGAATACAGGGAGACCCTGTCTCAAAAAAAAAAAAAAAAAAAAAAAAAGATATGTTCAAGATGGGGCTCTAATTTTTTCTTTTTTTTAAATATTTTATTATTTCTATTTTATGTGTACGAGTATATTGCTTGCATGTATGTGAGTGCACCCGTGTTGTGCAATGCCACAGAGGTCAGAAAAGGGCTTCGGAGTCCCCTGGAACTGGAGTTAAGGACAGTTCGCAGCTGCCATATGGGTGCGGAATCGAACCCAGGTCCTCTGCAAGAGCACTTAGTGCTCTTAACCGCTGAGCCCTCTTTCCAGCCCCGGGACTCTAATTTTCTATTGCATCATTGTAGGATACATATAATAGTTACCCCTTTTAGTGATGTTAAGATTAGAGAGGCTGGAGAGATGGCTTAGTGGTTAAGAGTTCAGTTCCCAGCAACCACATGGCTTCTGTAACTCCAGTTCCAGGGGATCTGACAACCTTTTCTGGCTCTGTAGGACCAGACTTGCAGGTAATACACATGCAAGCAAAACACTCATACACATAAAATAGAGTCTTTTAAAAAACACACAAAAAATTGATCAGCCCCGTGCATGGTAAAGTGTGCCTGTAATCCCAGCATTTGGAAGACTGAGGTAAGAGGACTGCAAGTTTGAGGCCAGTCTAGATTACATAGCTAGACCCTATCTTCAAAAATAGAAAAAAGAGCCAGACATGGTTATGCACACCTTTAATCCCAGCCCTCGGGAGGCAGAGGTGGGCAGAGGCAGGCAGATCTCTATGAGTTCAAGGCCAGCCTGGTCTACATAGCGAGTTCCAGGCCAGCTGGGGCTGCAGTAGATTATTCAGATTGATATAATGGTTCCTTTTAGACTTTAGCTTATGCTCAGATAGTCATTACCTGGGTCTGTTACTCTCTTAGGAAACAGGGAAATAGAAAATTCTTCAGAAGCCGAACATGTTGGTACATGCCTGTAGTTCTAGCATTTGAGAGGCAGAAGCAGGAAATCAGGAGTTTGAGGTAATCCTCAGCTATAGAAGGGAGTTTAGGCCAGCTTGGACTTTATGAGACCTGGTTGGAGGGATGGAGTGAGGAAAGGAGTGTTCTCTTCTGACGTTTTTCCTTCTGTGTTTACTCCTTGGAATCCTGTAAAGACAGCTGAGCCTTCTCCGTGTCTGAGTACTTCTTGCTTGGTTTGGCTAGCATGAAATTTTTTTTATCTTTTTGAGACAGGGTCTCCCTGTAACCCCAGGTGGCCTGGAACTCACTATGTAGACCAGGCTGGCCTTGAACTCACAGAGGTCCGCTTGCCTCTGCCTCCTGAGTACTGGGATTAAGGGCATGTACTACCACGCCCTGCCTAGCATGAAATTTTTAACAACCTTTTTTTCTCTGTATATCTAAAAGCTTTTTTTCTCTGAGAATTATTATTTGAGAGCCCTCTGCTCCCAAAACTCCATTAGAATCAAATCCAGGATACTGTACTTCTCCAACCCTACACGTAGGAGCTAGTACAAATCCAGGATCCCCCAACACACACACACACACACACACACACACACACAGAGGAGCTAGTACAAATCCAGGACACACACACACACACACACACACATTACACACACACAGGAGCCTAGTACAAATCCAGGACACACACATACCCCCTGCCCCCAACAGGAGCTAGTATGGGAAACATGCAGACTTCTCTGTACCACTTGTTTCTTGCACAAAAACAATAGAGAATGGTTTGAGTAATCAGGACAGTGTGTAGACCAAGGTCTCCATTTTATTGTGTAATCAGAGTTTCCCATTCTCTTCTGTGGCATTTCATCATGCTATCCATAACTGTGCAGTCTGGGTAAACATGACTTAAGGAATGCTGTAACTGGATAGATAGTAGAGTTCTTAATTCTAAAACATCATGGACAAATCACTTTAATATAGAAAGGGATGCTATTTTATAGTCCAAGCTAAAAGCTTTAAATCAGTGATTCAAAAGAGTGTACAGGGGCTGGAGAGATGGCTGAGCAGTTAAGAACACTGGTTGTTCTTGCAGAAGACCCGGGTTCAAATCCCAGCACCCACATGGCAGCTAACAACTGTCCGTAACTCCAGTCCCGGGGGATTGGACAGCCTCTTCTGACCTCCAAGGGCATCGCACAACACAGGTGCATTTACCTTCATGTAGGCAATACACATAAAATAAAAATAATAAATAAAATTTTAAAAAAGAGTGTATAATACTTAATGTTTTTGCTTTTCTAGAGTTCTTTGCTGAACTGGACAAGGTGATGGGTCCTCTCATCTTTAATGCGAGCATCATGACAGACCTGGCTCGTTACACCCGGCAGGGACTGCACTGGCTTCGCCAGGACGCCAAGCTGATATCGTGAACTGAGTGTACTCTCGTTGCCTCTGATTTTCTCCACAACACTGTGTCACATCACAAAGGAAAACTGCCATACACGCCTCCTAGTCGACACTAAGAATGAGGAATGGTTTTCTCCTCCTGGTTTATGTGGTGTTTTTTATAACCCAAAGCCATCATATCAGTTGACCCTTTCAATATTCCCAATGTGAAAAGTATTTAAATGTTTTTAAACCTGCAGCACATTGGTAAGGTGGTTTTAGTGATTGGAATTCCAGTTACAATTTATAATTAATCAAGTGAAATTCTATTTATTTTAACTTTTTTCAAGTCCCAGATTGGGGCCTGTTTAAAGCTTAGTTATTTCTGCCTATAAATTTACTCTGTTGAATATTTAGCATAAATTTAATGTAGGCATTTTTATTTATATATTTTGGGAGCTTTGTTACCTAATGTCTTTTTGTGGTAGGTCTTCTAAGAGAGTTGGTTCATCTAAGATAGGGACATGTTCTTTCTATACCTACTACCTGGTATTTCAGATCTTAACTACAATTTTATTATTGTAGGATTTATGCTTAGTATTAAGGATACTCTTCTACAAATGAAAAATCACTTAAATATGAGAAGATGGCATTCTACATGGATGCAAAAAGAAATGTGTCTTGTTTGATATGCATTATTTCAAAAACTGTGAATGTGTATATTAACACTAGCAATCACAAGGTGACTATAAATTGCATTTAATGCATTACAAAAAAAAGCAGATAAACTTGTTGGGAGAAGCATGTCATATTGAAGGGCCTCATGAAAGGACAATCTTAAACTAAGGGTTTTATTGAAACCTTGTGTTCTTTTTATTTTAATCATTTGACAGGCAATTGAAGCAGAATAAGTTACTCCTGAAGCAAAGGGCAATCCAGTTTCTGAAGGTTGTGGCCTATGTCTCTCTCACTGATAATGTTTGATGGTTAGTCTCTCTGCAGATTTCCCCCTATAGTGGATAGATTGTGATGTTCAGAGAAGTCCATGCAGTGACTTGATCTAGAAATGGGCTGACTGGAGCTTTTCAGGGTGTGCTTTTACAGTTCTAACTCTAATGTGGAGATGATGAAGTTCTCCTTTTCAAAGTTTTCAAAGGCCCTCATCAATGATGTGTTTCTGACAGGTCAGAAATTCACCGAAGCCAGGTGCGGTTGTACATACCTGTAATCCCATTCAGGAGGTGGAAACAGGAGGATCAGATCCTTCTCAAGCTCTAAAATGAGTTTGAGGCCAGCCTGAGCTATACAAGACTCACATAAAAAGAAGGAAAAAAGAAAAAGAAAAAAAAAGAAAAATTTCTTATTAGAAAAGTACCTAACTTGGTTCAATGTGAGCTCCTTTGGAAAAGGGAAAAAGTAGGGACAGAGCCTAAGAAACCTGCTCTGTAACAATTGTACATTCAAAGTACCGTTCCCTTGAGGTACGTGGAGGAGTGAAGGGTGAGGATTTATCTTCCTCTATACTTTTTTAGTGCCCCTGTCATGTCTGGTGTGCCTTAAATCTTACCTTTAAATGACAACTCTATGGATTGTTTACAGATGAAGTTTTACACTAGGACCAGATTAGCCGTGCTTGGTTGGTCCTTTACAATAATAATTTTAAATTTTCTTTGTTTTTGTTTTTGTTTTGGGGTTTTTTTGTTTTTGTTTTTTTTTTTTTTTGGTCTTTTTGAGACAGGGTCTCCCTGTAGCCCCAGCTGGCCTGGAACTCACTATGTAGACCAGGCTGGCCTCAACTCACAGAGATCCACCTGCCTCTGCCTCCCCAGTGCTGAAATTTTCTTTGATTTTAAATCTTCCTTTAGAGTCACATAAAGACTAATTTCTGAGAAGTTAATGCTTTGGTGCATGATGTGCTGTGTTGGTATAATGCTGCTTCAAAATGGCTTGTCCCTCTCACTCCAAAAGTCCATCCAGTTGGGAAAAAAATTGCCCTACTGTCGGCAGATGATTGTTTCGATTTGAAATGGAACGGGAGGAAGAGTGATAGGAAATCTTCAGTCCAGCAGTGTCGCTCACCCTCTGGCGTAGTCTGTTTCTCACCTGTTTCTGCTGACCCGTGAACTTTGTCCTGCACTCTGTTTATAGAGCTTAAGTGTTTTGTGTCTCCTTGTTTTATATCATTGAAGATTGAAATCTACATATTACCCTGAATTTAACATTTTTTCCCCTTGGAGAAATTGCCTCTGATATCTTTCTAATTTAATGGTAGTGTTTTAGGACTAGTTTTTCTTCAGAGGACATTGTCTCCTCAATTGTGATGGTGATTTACTCTAACAGTTGTGAATCAAGTGTGTGTATGTCCTGTCCTTTGCTGATTCCTCTGAGTCTGGTTCCTTAATTTGCAGTGATGTCTTAGAAGTGCAGCAAGTATTCTCTGGGCTTTTAGACTTCAATAACAAAGGCAGTGGGGCACCTCTGAGTTCGAATTCTAGTGTCGTGTGTCCTAAAAGGCAGCTGGAGCATTCTGGGGTCAGACTGATGGTAGAGCGAAGTTTCCTGCATATTTAATGGTGCTGCTTCAAGATGCTTCTCTTTAAAACGGCTAATTCTTGAGGAATGAATTTGTGAAGCCTTTTATTGTGGAAGATTTTCCCCATGAGGTAGAAACGGGCAGTGGATCAAAATTGAGTTTTCGATGTTGTAGTCTGAGAATGCACTCTCCTCTGTGTCTGTCTTCTCAGATGTCTGTGTCAGTCATCTCCAGCACACACCTTGGACTCCTTTACAGTGACCATTCCTCCCTTCTCAGTAGGTGCCCCGAGCATCTACTAACCACTTCAAACTGGTTTTGACAAGTGGCTACAAACTTACTTAGTCTGAAACTTACATTCACTATACAGTTAGTTATAGAAATAGCAACTATCTTTAAAATGATACTCTGTTGACTGCTCTAAAGATTATGCTTGTATGCCAGGAGGCCGCAGCCTGCACCATGGTCCCTCTATAGGCAACCCACAGACAACTGCGGGAGGTGGCACTACCCCAGTAGTCTTGGCCTGGGAGAGGCTGGGCTGCAGGAGCACTCCCTTCCAGCATTCAAGCCTGAGCAGCCTAGCCCCAGGCTCCATGCTGGCTGGAGAGCACCCAGCCCTCTCTCTGCCTTAGTTCCACGTTTTTCTGAGCAAGGAGCTACAAAGTCACTTTATTAGCAGTGTGTACTTCAGACAATTTATAGCAATAGCTGCTGAAGAGAAGATTGAGCACTACAGTTTGAATACAAAGCAATTCAGAGTAATGTGTGCACATGCCCACGCGAGTCTGTGTTTCTGAGGAGCTCTTGCCCTAGGGATCCATAGGCATCTTGGGCTGCACTTTGAGTGACACACCTGTGGCTTTAGTAGATTCACTGTTGTGTGGCGTTGTTGTTGTTTGTTTTTGTTTTTAAATTGTCCTCATTTCTTTTTATTAAAGATTTAATCAGCCAGGTTAAGCAGCATCATTGTATTTAATGGTGGAAACTTTGGTATCTTGAGATTTAGTGAATGAGCTTCATCATGAAGCAAGAGCCTGCAGAAGGCATCTGTTTTATAAACACAAGTGCTGGCCTGAGGCCAGAGCTCAGTGGAGTTTCAGGGCAGCCAGTGGTGGCTCCAGTTAGTGATGCCTAGCTCAGTTGAGAAGGGGACACTGTGCACTCTTCTAGGTATGAGGGTATGCAACCTTGGATCTTAAAATTATGTACACATACACTCTTTATATATATGTATGTATGTATGAAAACATAAAATTAGTTTGTCAAAAATGTGTGTTTAGTACTTTAGCTTAGTGCAACTATTTCCACATTATTTATTAAATTGATCTGAGACACTTTGTTCTTGACACCTTGAATGTTAATGTTCAAGAGTGCAACGTGTGTTCCTTTAGGTTGTTAAAGCTTAATTACTATGGTTTGTAGTAAATTAACTTTTCAAATATATTGAGCCCTTCTATAGTGTAATAGGGCTCTTACAGGGTGGGAAAGATTTTAATTTTCCAGTAGGTAATGGAAAAAAAATGGCTTCATTATGTATTTTGAATTAGAGGAGTCTATAGGTGTCTTGGACCCAGAAACATCTACTGAGGATGACTGTTTTAGGCAGCTTGTGACGGTGTTTAGAATAAACCTAAATAACTTGGGGATCCAGAACATGTCATTCAAATCCATGTAGACTCTTAGAACGCACACTATGCTAGTATGTGGAATGCAGGTTTCATTTCAGCTTCACACCATGGTTGGAGAGGCAGTCTTTCTTCCAGTAATATTGCACACCTAATGTTGCTGTTCAGTAAAATCAATACAAGAAATAATCATTGAATGGCTTGGAAAGTGCAGTGGCAGGTGGCCCAGTGGTTATGTTTGTGAACATACTTTCCCCATACTCACTAACAGGAATCCAGCTAAGACTTGTGGACACTAAAACCAAGCTACTAAGTAGTACAAAGTAAGTCATTAAAAGTTAATGAAGACCAGGCATGCTGCTGTACACCCTGAGTTCAAGGTCATCCTCTGCTACAGAGTGAGTTCCAAGCCAACCTGAGCTACATGAGACCCATTCTCAAAGAACACAAGTAAATAAAGAAGTTAGTGGAGGTGCGTGCTTCCATTGCGGCATTCAAAGTGCCAATTTGAGGCCTGCATGCCCTCCATTTAACCCTGTAAAAACCAAACAAAAGTGTAGCAAAAGGATGCCACTGAACTCATGTTCACATGAACCCCACAGTAATTAAAAGAACTTGCTGTCTCCAGAACAGGGAATAGAAGAGCAGCTACATCTCTTTTTTAAGCAGAATTTGGTCACAGAATAAAGTATTCAAGTGAAGTCTCGACCAAGTCATGTAGATGTTTAAGCATCTTAACTAGCAGCTTAAATAGTTGGTATGTAAAGAAGTTGATATTCAGGAAATCACGATGGGCCTGTCCTTGCCACCATTGCTCAGCTAAGCATAGACCATCCTTACCCAGAGGACGCTCTGTAATGAGCATGGAAAAGCTCCCACCAAGAAATTCTAGTGACACTTGGTTCTCACCTCTTGCTGCTTCCTTGTGAGCTTCTTTTCAGTTTTTAGCCATCGGAATTTTCTACCTGCTATGTCCTTTCTGAAAAATAGCAGTTTGGAAATGCTGCCTTTCAAATCAATGCCATGATATCCATACTGTTGAGTTCGTTGTTGCTGTTCAAGAAGCGTCCCCGTCATGCACACACCTTGCAGATCACTGGCACGTGCATTCAGCAGTACTCGGGGGAGGGGGCTCACCAACAGAAAATGGCTCGATTGCGGGGTCTGGAAAGACAACCACTTTTGAGGGCCAGATGTGGGGTTGGTAAGCACAGTTAGGGAGATTTCCTTCTAGCCTCCGTTTTGAATGATTTTAAGAAATTTTGTATATGGAGGGTAGAGATGCTTATATATTTATTGAAGATCCTTTTATTTGAAATTAAAATTATTTGGTAAATAATGGTTTGATATTTGGGGAGGGTTTTGGAGGGGAAGTAATGCCATTGATAAATTATAAACCTGTTGATTCTGCAGAAAGGTACTGTTACTGATAGGATGCCTTTGTTTGTACACGATTCAAACCTTTGTCTTACATTTCTTTTATCCAAAATATTTAGGCATCTGACATTTTCAACCAAAATTTCAATTATATACTGTGATTTTTATTTGTTGCAATACATTAAATTTCAGAGGTACTTGGGGGCTCAAAAGCTAGGATTTCTAAGTCTGTATGTGCATTTCACATAATAAAGCTGCTAATGGTGAGCAAAGTATTGTATACTAACTAGATTTTTCCACATCTGTATGGTGTATTATATGTATTTTGTGGTATAAAGTTTAGAAATGCATCAAACAGTTTAGAGTGTCAAACATGCGTTTAATGTGTATTTTTAAACAAATTTATGGCAATTAAAATATTTGGAGACAAGGGTATCACATTTCAATTTGTAAAAATCTTTTTAACTCTGCTGTGTCATTAAAATGCTTTGTATAATGCCAAACCATAGCTGGAGAAACTAAGTTTAATAAATACCAATAGATTTTCTGTACAACGTTCACAAGCACTGTCCTTCAGCTCTCTGCCCGCCTCGTGCAGTTGCTGCTTTGTAATGTAGGGTCCAGTTTTACTCTCTAAAAGTCTTGTCTCACCAGCACAGATCTCGTCCAATTACAGAAAATTTGAGCTCCCAGCCATGGGTCCTTGCCATAAATCACACTTATTCTGCCCAATAGAATCTTGACTCTTTTCTGATGCCTTTGGGGCATAGGCATTTATTTATTTATTTCAAGACAGTGTAGCCCTGGCTGGCCTGGAACTCACAGAAATCCACCTGCCTCCCAAGTGTTAGGATGAAAGGCATGTGCCAACACACCTGGCTGTTGTTTTTAAGTGTGTTAACACCACACTTCTCAGGCAAAGTCACCACAGCATCAGATAATGACATTTGGTTGTATATGTACAGAGTCAGTCAAGAGTGAATTCCAGACTGCCAGGATTTTAATTTGAGGCATTTAATAGAAAAATAAACTCTGAGGTTTAGTTACCGTCTATCTACACATCAATGTTCTAAGAAGAAACGGAGACCAGTTGAAAGCATGCGTTTGTCTTTAAATATTAAAAACACAAATCGCTTCACTTAGTATCTCCGACCAGAATGAGGTTAGCCAATATTCCATAGAATGGAGCATTGTTGGCCGTGACTTCCCCTGGCACGAGCATCATTCCTGGGCCACACTTAGGGAACAGCGTCTTTTTCTAGGTGGGGGAAAAAAGAGGTATTTAAGATTGGATGTGAGCCTAGGGAGCCCCAGGCCACCTCTGCCACCTTTCCCTCCCCTCGGCTTGGTCTGGCCAGTCAGGAACCTGGACAGCTCTGGGCAGGGATTCTCTTCAGAGTTTGCACAGCCCCAGCCCTGGTACTCCTTCATCCTAGCTCTTTCCTTAGGGCTCTGTGCTTCCTGATCTCACCTCCCAGCTTCCCAGGACTCTCGGTACCCCAGCACCTGCATTTGTGGAGTACCTGCAGAGCTGTGTGATACACTCGGAATCATCCCGGCACGAGGCTCCAATGGGCCTGAGGGAAACCCCTCTCCAAAATGGGGTCATTCTCCTTGATCTTCTCTTTGCTGAACTCAGTTCTGGTATTGGGGAGCCATTTACCTGTAGAGCAAAGACACAGTCATCTTAGACACTGACGAGCCCACCCCATGCTACTCACCTTGGAATAAGGATGGTTCCCAGGATACAGAGACTCAACCGGAACCACTTCTCAGGACTGAGTCTGGCTCAAGTTTCAGTTCCTCTACCATGGCCACAACTATGTGTTTCCTTCCTTACCTGACCCAACAGCAGCAAGCAGGTCATGAGCACTGTGAAGAGTTTGAGGTATAACATCTTGGCAGAGGGAAGACAGTGGAGCCCGAAAGCCAGGGAGCAGTTCCCGTTTCCTTTTATAGACTCATATTTATTTTTCTCATGGTTACCAGGTGGGGAGGGGGGCAAAGTTTGTAATCAGGATCAATTGAATAAGTTAATGTCTACCCAAGGAATGTGCTCATGGGCTACACTCGAGACACGTTGCACTTAACTGATCTCTCATCTGGACTTTGAATAAGTGTGTTGCTGGCCTGGACCCTTACACCCATTTTATCAGAAGTCAGCACTGTCTTGCTGTCCCTTTGAAAGCCACGTGAATCCACTAAGGGGAGAATAAGAACCTGGCCACCCTTCTAAAGTAGCTCAGCAGGATGGGAGCACATGTGAAGTCCTGGGTTCAATTCCCAGAATAAAAAAAAGTCCTGAAACAGCTCAGTGAGATGGTTCTAATCAGAATAGAATTCTGACGAAGTCTTCAGAAATAAAGACTTCTTAGCTTGTCTAGGGAAAAAAAGCTCTGCCCTTTGGTGTACAAGCGATTGGCTATGGCCCCTGTCTCCGTTCTGTGGACGACAGCAAGCGGTCTGCAGTGTCTCACCTTCCCTGTTTGCACAGAGGGACTGTCATCTAACAGCCCTGCTCACCTTACGAGAATAAAGTCCCAGCTGTGGAATACGCAAATCCTACCCTTCCAAGGGAAGGGCACTGGGATTTGAACGAGTAAATGAACCATGGGCTTTATCCCCAGGCAGAGTGTTTCCTTCCAGCAGCCTCAGGGCAGTAGAAGCCCTAACATCCACTAGTAATCGTAGGAATCCCTGTATGTTTTTAGGCCATGAGCCACAGGTCCTAAATGACATGATTTTTATTTTGATACTATCTCACTACGTAGCCCAGGCTGGCCTGATTTCACAATACTGATTTGGTCTTCAAAGTGTACTACCACACTTGGCCATGGCATTTTAACACATTTGAGGGGAATGCTAAATTCTGGGTCAGGCTATTCATAGGACCAGCTCTTCTTGTGATCCGAAGGGGTAAGAAGCCATAAAAAGATGCCGCCTGCCCAGAATCTCATTGAAAACTTGGCTGCCGTCTCTTCCCAGGGCTCCTCATCTGCACAGGTGGATATCTGGACAAGAACCTGTTCCCTAACCACAAAACAAGGAGCTGCAGGCAGTGCGGACAGAAGAGGATGGTCACCCTTCTGTGGCCAGTCAAATGGAGCTTCTTGCCAGGGGAGAAGTGGGTGGTATGGTGGAGGTCAGAGCTGAGACTGGTGGGATAGAACTCTGCAGATCTGTCTTGTTCAGTCCTGGGACTGTGGAACTCACCTGGAGGGAAATTCTAGCTCCAACTTGAGAATTGTGGAGTAGACGTATATGCTAAACCCTATCAGCAAACAATTCTAGTTGGCTGCTCCCTTCCCTCTCCCTGAGGTTGGGTACTGAATGACCCCAGACTAAATAGGAACTTTGCAGAGATGGGGAGAGGCTCTGTGGTGACCCAGTGAACATTGAGTAAGAACACAAATCTGATTAGATAAGCAAGACTGAACAGCGTGATGTCCTAGAACCCGTTGGGTCTATGGGCTCAGTGCCAACCTCTCAACCAGCCTGCAGTGACTTGCAACCCATCCAAAAGATGGGCATCTTCCAGCCCCCCGTTTCTGCCTTTCTCTACTCAGAAAAATCAAAGTAGCCTTTTGTGTTGTTTCTAAAGCCAATACCACAGTCAAGGGAAAAGACACGGAAGCCTGTGTGCTAAGTAAAGACTGTTCCTTCAGACTCAAACCCATCTGGAAGCCAGCATTACTTACCAAAGAAGATCCTGATAGGTGTCTGTGAAAGGAACCATTCTAGGGAAAGCATACATCTACACGAACTCTGTAGTTTTTAAGTTTGGAAGCCGGGGGGTGGGGGTGGGGTGTTTAGCATGTGCAAGGCCCTGGATTCAATACCTAGGGCTGAAAGGAAAAATACATCCTGGGGCGCACCTTGAATTTGGAGGCTCAAAGCCACATCTAAGCCCTTAGCTGAATTGGCACTAGCTATCCAGAGCCATCCTATACCTTGATGAAAGAACTATTTGGGTCCTGAAATTTGAAAAATCCAAAGGTTCTTTCTGCAATCATTTTGCTGAATGAATTGAAAATTACACGCTCCTTCCTCTGCTAGACAAACCTCAGCTGGCTTAATTCCCACGGTTAGGAGAGAACACTTGGCTGAGAGGCAGAAGCCTCTGTCTGCGGAGACCATCGACCACAGGCTAGCTCTTCCCCTCTTCGGCTTTCCTCTCTCGCTCAGTGAGGTGGGAGTAGATCACAGGCCTCCTGGGCACATTTGGGGACCCAAGCGGTTAATTTACAAGAAGAAAATGGGACAAACAGATTTGACAGCCAAGAGCTGGACCATGCCACATACAACTCCAGGGACTTTCCACATCAGAAAGTGCCAGGATGAAATGAAAGAGGGCAGGGACCCACAAGCAGCTGTCTGAAATAGTTTACAGGTGGAGAGATCATTAGGACTTGGCAGTAATTGGAAACTTACATTGTCCTGAGCAGGAGGTCCCTAATAAAAGATGAAAGACTTTGAAATGGAAAAGCTTCCAGGTAAAATTTCAACAAAGGGTCACGGTGTACTTGCTTTTGTTGTTGGCTGGAACTGGCAGGCGTCTGGGCTTGCACTAGGTGGGCCTATATCCTGGGTACTATGTTGGCAGGCTGGAGAGTTCCCTTTCCTAGATGCCAGAGGCATGAACATGTGCTTTTTCAAAATGGGTTAAGTGGAGCAAGTGGTTGCACCGCAGCATAAAAGAGCCATGCCCTAGGCTGGAAGCCCTGGGTGGATGTGACATGGGTCCAAGGCTATCTGTCTTCTTCAAAGACTTAACTCAAGGAGCTGGGGAAATAGCTCAGTCAGTAGAGTGCATGTCACACAAACAGAACGTAAGTTCTGATCCCCAGCACCCAGTAACAAGCCTGGCGTAGTGGCATAGCCTGCAGTCCCAGTACTGGGAGTGGAGACAGGGTCCCCGGGCCTTGCTGGCCACCCAGGCCAGCTCAACTTGTGAGCTTCAGGTTGAACTTGCCTTGTCTAGCTGAATCTGTGAGTTTCAGAGAACTTGGCTCAAAAAATATGGTGGAGTGTGATAGAGGAAGGCATTCGGCATTAACCACACACACACACACACACACACACACACACACACACACACAGAGGCTTAAGTCAACCTTTGTGAATTTCTACAAACAGAACAGTCCCTAAGGTGGCCCCAGTTCCCACATTCTGTAGTACCAAAGTCACTGCTTACACTCCACACCCCAGTGCCCTGGCACATCTCCTAAATGAGATCCCTGCCTCCGAGCTCAGAGAGGAACGCCCCTCTGCAAGGGACGGGCTAAAAATAGCCCTTAACAATTTCAGTCATGAGCAGGGTCATCTCCACAGAGCATCCATGGGGTAAAAAAGAACCATACTGTGCTGGCAAGGTGACTCAGTGGGTAAGGCACTTAGCACGCAAGCCTGGTGACCTAAATTCAATCCCTGGAGCCCATAGAAAGGTGGAAGAGACATGACTCCTCGAGGCTGTCCTCTGACCTCCACACTCAACAGTAACAGATGATTTTAAGACCAGACCAGGAGGCTCAAACAAAGGCTGTGGGCTAAGATGTTTGATTCCTTTGAACTGGTTTGTCTAGAATACAAGCAGTTAAACAGTGTAAAGATGCCCAGGGGGCTGCAAGAGTGACTCCTCCAGGGGCAAAAATGAAAGCCGTTAACAGCCTATCAGGGCAGTGTTCCTCCCCTGGGCTGGGAACCCAGGATGGGTGCCATCTAGACCTGGAGCTTTATTGGACTTAGTCTGTGACCCAAGTGTTGCAAGATTCAGGGATAGAGCCAGACATGAGACGTGGGGGCGGGGGATCATGTCACTTCCCTCAGGGCCTCCCTCTCTACCACTCATTTCACCTCAACTTTTCTATATCCTCGAAATCCGTGCAACTTCAAGATTGTCTGTTGTTGAAGTAATTTTGGTTCTCAAGAAGCAACAGCAGTCAGGAAAAAAGACAGCCTTGAGCCAGACTTGACACCTACCCTACCCTCTGGAAGGGAAGAGAGCAGCTTCTCGAAAGCCAGCCACGGGTTCTAGAGCTAGAGTGCAGAATACTTTCAGTTTTATCCTCTACACATAGCAAAGCCATTTGGGGGTTGACTCCATAATGCAAAACCGTGGTTTATTGACTGACCCGCTGTCAAGGCCCATGATCACCCCCCACCACCACCCACACACAGCTGGAACCCCTCAGGCTAAGAAAGGCTGCTGTAGAAGAGGCAGCAGAACATGGGTTAAGAGCACACTTGGGAGGGGGCGGGGTGGGGGGATGGAGCGGGCAGCTGGAGATGACTCAGCAGTTAAGAGGACTGCTCTTGCAGAGGACTCAGGTTTGATCCCCAGCACCCACATGGTGGTTAACTCCAGTTCCAGGGAATTTGACACCTTAAGAGGACTGCTCTTGCAGAGGACTCAGGTTTGATCCCCAGCACCCACATGGTGGTTAACTCCAGTTCCAGGGAATTTGACACCTCTGACCTCCTCAGGCATTGCACGACATGGGTGCACTTACACACGCAGGCAATACACTCATACACATAAGTATTTTTAAAAAAGCATACACGCCTGTATCACTGTATCACACATCACTGCTATATAATTTGGGGCAAATTACTTATATTGTGTTTCCTCATTTGCAAAGGAGTATAGTATGTCAAAGGTTGCTGTGAGTTCAAAGTTCCTTCGTGTGACTAGGAAGAGCACTTGACATCGTCATTAGTGTCCTTGCTAGACTTTATGGTTGCAATGGGGAAAGAGTGCTAAGAACCAGCAATCCCAGAGCCTGTGCCGCCCACACCTGCCCCCAAACCCCAGGCTAGGCAAAGCTGGTCAGGACTTATGCCAAGGGCAGGATCATGCCCTGAACATTACCAGCACCACACTAAGGACTCTGCTCATAAGAAAACAAAAGTTGGGTTGGGCGTGGTTGTGCACACCTTTGATCCCAGCACTCAGGAGGCAGAGACTGGTGGATCTCGAGTTTGAGGCTAGTCAGGTCTACACTGCCAGCCAGGGCTACATACTGGGTCTTGAAAAAGAAAAAAAAAACATGGGGCTGGAGAGATGGCTCAGCAGTTAAGCGCACTGACTGCTCTTGCAGAGGACCCAGGTTTGATTCCCAGCACCCCCACGGCAGCTACAAATCATCCTTAACTCCAGTTCCAGGGGAATCCAACACCGCCTTCTGACCGCCACGGCATTGCATGACACAGGTGCACTCACATACATGCATGCAATACACTCATATACATAAGTAAAAAAAAAAAAAAAAAGCCCACCAAAAACCAAAAAGTGAATTCACAACAGTATGGCCAGTAAGTGGTTTATTGTCTTCCAGACACTCCAGAACACACTTCTCTCCCACAGAAGGGTCTTCAGGCAGGAAACTCATCGAGCTCTGACGCTCACTTGTCTTCTGCATAGGCCGCAGGGTTCTTCCTCTTGGACTTCTCGAACTCCTGGTTCCCCCATGTGTACACGAGGTAAAACACCACAAATGCTGCACAAATCAAGAAGAGTAAGTAGTGAGCACACTGATTATCATTTCAGACAGGTTCTCACTATGTAGCCCTTGCTGGCCTCAAACTCAAGAGAGCTTCCTGCCTTGGCCTCCTCAGGGCTGGGAATAAAGGCAAGAAATTACTTTAGTTGTGCATGTGTCTTCTGCTGACTAAGCTTGCCATGTGCCTGCAGTGCCACAAAGGCCCCTGGACTTGAGTTTATGGTGGTGGTTTGCTGCAATGTGAGTGCTGGGAACAGAACCCAGGTCCTCTGTAAGAGCTGCAAGTGTTGTCACCTGCTGAGCCATTTCTCCAGCCCCAATTAACTGCTTTTAAGCAACTTTTGAAAAAGTTACATTACACCCATTTTTACAAGTAAGCAAAACAAAAAAGTCAAACAAGAAAGATTTTGCACTAAAGCTTCCCGGTCTCTCCCCTACTTAACACTAAAAACAAATTTTCATGAGGTTATTGAGATGAAATTCGCCAAACATAAACTTCACGACTTGAAAAAGTACATTCCAAGCTGCGTGTGGTGGTGCATGCCTGTAATCCCAGCATTTCCCAAGGCCGAGGCAGCAGGATCACAAGTTTGAAGCCAACCTGGGCTATACGGCAATACCCAGTCTCAACATCTTCGCCAAATTCAAATGTGCACTTCGTTGATCTTGGCACTTTCACGTCACATTGCACTATCTACCGCACATTAACACTCATCACTGATAAAAGGATACCCATGACCTGAGGGAGACGCTGCAGTCTTCCGGGTGACCTTAGGCCAGCCGTTCAGGGATACTCGGGCGAGGTGCCGGCGCAGCCTGACAACTCCCCCCCCCCGCCCCGGCCCACTCACGCGGCACCACGCGGAGGACGCGCTCGCGAGTGCGGCGCAGCACGTTGGGGATGCCCTTGCTGAAGTAGTGCGGGAAGGCGCGCTGCTCGAAGGGCGAAAGGCTGTAGGAGATGACGTGCCGCATCCGCACCAGGTTCCCGAACTCGCGGCCCATGGCGGCGGCCTGCAGGACGGAGACAACGGTACCGGGCTCAGCCTCGGGGGACCCACCCCGCACCCCGGAAGTCTCTCCAGCCCCGCTCGGGCCCGCACTGGGGTCACCTCTGCTAGCACGGGCTCGATCCGGCGGCCTCCGCACGCCACTTCCGGAGGGAGCGGAAGGCGAGCCCGGAAGTCATGAGGTCTCTTCCGGACGTACCATTTTCTTTTGTCTCCAAGGGGAGGCGCCGTTGCCTCTGGCTCTACAGAGAAGAGGCGTACTTGGTGGGCGTGGCCTTATCGGCCTCAGTGGGCGTGGCTTGAGCCTAGCTGGCTGGTCGGGGCGTTGGCGTGGACGGCCTCAGTGGGCGTGGCCGGCTCCCTATGGAGGTGGGCGTGGCCTAACTGAGGCTGGGAGGGGCAGGGACGCGAACGAGAGGCGCGCGTGGGCGGGGCTTGGAGGGGCCTGTTGAGTGACCTGCTCCGCTGCTGCCTTTTCTGCTCTGTCGCCCTCTTGGGCTGGACGGGCGTGGAGTTCGGGCTTGCTGGTCTCCCACCTGTCCCGAGTGCTCCTGAGGTCTGTCCAGAGTTATGGGGTCCCGCCCTGCAAGCCAAGGCGGGCCAGGACGACTGTCGGCCGCGCACTGACTCCAGTAGGACGTTAGGGATGCGGGTCTGTTGCCTAGGCAACCCCCGGCAGCGTCCTCCACTCACCAGGGAGCGCTCTCCATAAAAGGCCTTTCTCCTATGGATGCTGTCATCCTTAAGGCTCACTGACTTTGCTGTACGCAGTGCCTGTGATGGAATAGCTGGCCTACTCACCTCGCATTCTACTGTCGAGTAGCCACAACCTGGGTTGGGTGGTGCTTGACAAACAGCTTAAATTTTTTTTTTTTTTTGGTCTTTTTGATCTGTAACCCCAGCGAAGAACTGGCTTTGTAGACCAAGCTGGCCTAGAACGCACAGAGATCTGCCTGCCTGTGCCTCCCGAATGCTAGAATTAAAGGCGTATAATACCACGGCCTGGCTGGCAAACAGCTTAAATTTTGCGATGTCTTAGGCTTTATCAACCTGATACTATACAGACTGATTTTCTGAGATTGAACTGGTTCAGCAAACTTCCCTAAGTTACTCCATTTTGTTCAGAGCCATTTCAGCAGCAACTTTGCTCCACACCAAAAGGAAAAGGGGGGCAACCTTGGGCCTTGGAAGATTGTCCTAGCCATGAACCATGGACTGTGCTAATTCGAGACATCATACATCTGATTAACCAGCTTGTTTTCGCTTCTGTAATCTGCTTGCTATCTTGGGTCATCTTGACAGGGCATAAGACCACCCTTGTTATCTTGTTACTGTATGACCACCTAGAAGTCATTTACCTTGACTGTCTTACTATACTTATTATGGCTAAAACTGTTGGCTAGCTTTAAGGTCACAAAGTTGATTTATATGACTGATGACTGTATCACTTGTCTGTATAATGATTGGTTGTTGATGTCTAGATTCAAAGTTCTGCTATGTTGTGCAAACCTGATTGGTTCCCAAGTGTCTAATAATAATTCTGTAATCTTGTAAAAACTCTGACCTGACAATCATCAGGGCTGCTTCTACTCCTGAGATAGACAGCCCGGCCAGTCGAAAATTAAAATTTACCTTGCTACTTTTCTTAAAGTGACGTTGGTGATTTTTTACGAACTCTGTCCTATAACAGAGATAGCCTCCCTCCGACCGGCTAGATAGTCCCTTCTTTAAGCTGTCAGGATGCACCTTCCCGACAGTTTCCTAAAATAATATCTAGCTTGGGCTCAGCTCCAACCCTGAAACATAAATTCTTTTGACAGCTAAGGACTAAAATACTGTGGTGAATTCTGCCATTTGGATGATTATTAAAAAAATAAGACTTTTGCCGGGCGTGGTGGCGCTCGCCTTGGAGGCAGGCGGATCCTCTGTGAGTTCAAGGCCAGCCTGGTCTACACAGTGAGTTCCAGGACAGCTGGGGCTACAGGGAGACCCTGTCTCAAATAAATAAAAATTAGATGTTTATTTAATAGCACTTGCAAATATCTCAAAACATTTTAGCTGAAGTATGGTACAAATAAATGTAAACCAAAGTAAGGGGTTTGGATATTGTATTTTTGTTACATTTAAAATTTTGGAGGGCCGAGAGATGGCTCAGTGGTTAAGAGAGCATACTGCTCTTCCACAGGACCAGAGTTTGGTTCCAAGCCCACTTGGGAGGAGTGCTTATAACCACTTATAACTCTTGTTCCAGAAGGATCTGTCATTTCTGACCTCTGAGGGCACTGCAGTCACATTAGTTAAAATATTTTAAAATTTACATTTATTCTTACGGGGTGGAGAGGGAGTGGATGGCACATGTGAGTGGAAGTCAGAGGGCAACCTGTGAGAGTCAACTCTCTCCTACCACGTAGGTCCCAGGGATTGAACTCAGGTCGTCAGACTTGGCAGCAAGTGCTTTTACTTCTGAACTATCTTGCCAGCCAGGCAGATTGTAATTGGCAAGGTTAAAGGTAATGTTCCTTTTTTTGTTGTTGTTCCTTTTTTTCTTTTTTCTTTTGGATTTTTGAGACAGGGTCTCCCTGTAGCCTCAGAAGGCCTGGAACTCACTATGTAGACCAGGTTGGCTAGATCTGTAGCTCCACCCCCTGGGAGATCCGATGCTGCCTCTGGCTTCCTCTCCGGCACCTGCACTCATGTGCACATACACACAGACACACACATTATAAGGATGATTTAAAATAAATCACTGGCCATAGTGGTGGTGCACAGCTGTAATCCCAGCACTCGGGAGGCAGAGGCAGGCAGATCTCTGAGTTCAAGGCCGGCCTGGTCTCCATAGCGAATCCAGGCCAGCTGCAGCTACAGGGAGGCCCTGTCTCAAAAAGACAACAAACAAAAAAAACACATTGCAAGTGACTGTTGCATCATGCCAACTTTACAGCTCCCATACTAAGCCAGCTGAACAGCCTAACGGGTGCTCTGAAATTTGCATACCAACTGTGATTTTTATCTCTCTGTCCCAGAATCATGTGGTAAATAATCACTTATTCTAAGCACCTGGAAGTGGGGTGGGGTAGATGAATCAAGAAAAAAGCAAACCTGGTATTTCCAGTTACTTCCCCAGCCTTAAAAGGTTTTATTTTAGAATTCCTGTTTTCTCTTAAGAGTTCAGCTATATAACCAGTCTGTTAGGGTAGTGATAACTGGGTAGGTTTTAAGAAAATGTCAGGGGAAAAGGAGGGAAAGAGGCTAAATAAGCCAAGAAATCTAATGAACTTTACTGGAGCCAAAGATGCCCTCAGCTGACTGCTGTAGAGCTGATAAGAACGACCTGCAGCAGTGAAACTAGTCGAGCGCACACCTACATTTTATTTAAGAGACCAAACCAGGGCCTCCCGGGCCTTCAGGAAGAAGACTGGTTGTGGGGAAATGCTCTCTTCCTTAGTTCTCCCAAGCCATGGCACTTTCCAGCAAATTCCTGCTCTGGTTTTGCTGTTCTGCCTGGCTGTGCTTTTTCACTAGCCTGGGCTCTCAGGCTTCTAGGGGAGAAGCTCAGATTGCAGCTAGTTCAGAGTTGGAATCTGAGGCAGACCCTTGGCCCTTGCTGCTGCCTGGAGATGGAACAGACAGATCCAGCCTCCTGCCACCTCTCTTCAAGGTCCTGTCTGACAGGCGAGCTGAGGCCCCCAAGCTGCAGCCCGACTCCAGAGCTTTGTACTACATGAAGAAGCTCTACAAGACGTATGCCACCAAGGAGGGCATTCCTAAACCCACCAGAAGTCACCTCTACAACACTGTTCGGCTCTTCAGCCCCTGCGGCCAGCACGAGCAGGCTCCAGGAGGCCACATGACAGGTGCGCGAGTAGATGGTGAATGAGGTGCAGGGAAGGTGATAGTTTATTTTCTGGTCTTTTTGAGACAGGGTCTCCCTGTAGCCCCAGCTGGCCTGGCACTCGCTGTGTAGACCAGGTTGGCCTCCAACTCACAGAGATTGACCTGCCTTTGCCTCCTGAATGCTGAGATTAAAGGCATGTGCCACCATACCCGGCTTCGTTCTCTTTTGAGACGGCCTCTTTGTGGCCCTGTCTGGCCTAGAACTCACTATATAGACCAAGCTGGCCTGGAACTCCCTATATAGACCAGGCTGGTCTGGAACTGGAAAGATCTGTCTGCCTTTGTCTCCCAAGTGCTGGGATTAAAGATATGTACCCACCATGCCCAGCAAGCTTTATATTTCTGTTACAGAAAGGAGCTGGAATTTTGTGTGTGTGTGTGTGTGTGTGTGTGTGTGTGTGTGTGTGTGTTTTAGACAGGGTCTCACTATGTAGCCTAGGCTGTCCTCAAACTCTGCTGCAGCCTCATGTGTAGCCAAGACACAGGTTACACCATCATGTAGGGCTCTCTAGCTTTCATGCTTTGAAATGTGTTTTATTTTGCATGCTACTCAGGATCCAACTGAAACAAAATTGATGCTTGATTTTTCTTTTAAATATTTTTATTTTTTATATGAATGTATTGCCTGCATGCATGTGAGTGCACCTGTGTCCTGCAATGCCGCAGAGGTCACAAGAGGGTTTTGGATTACCCTGGAACCTGGAGTTAAGGATGGTTTGTAGCCACCATGTGGGTGCTGGGAATCGAACCCGGGTCCTCTGCAAAATAGTCAGTGCGCTTAACTGCTGAGCCATCTCTCCAGCCCCGTGGTGCTTGATTTTTTTTTTTTTTCAAGTTCTTGAATTCTTTCTCTGGCGGTACTAAGGATCAAACCCAGGGCCTCCCACATGCTAGACAAGCATTCTACTATTGAATCAGTGCTGGCCCTGGCACCAATTGTAGTTTCTAATGCCATCATTAGTTAACAGATTAGTCTGATAGGTTTTTATTTTGTTTTGGCTTTTGAGACAATCTCATACTGTGGCCTAGACTGGCCTCACCTTGCAGTGACTCTTTTGCCTCAGCTGTTCCAGTGCTGGGATTACAGGCACGTGATACCACACCGGCTCAGTATTTTAAGGCTAAAGGAGACTTAATGTGCTTAAAGGCCAAGGAAAGTGCTGGCGAAGGTTAGCGTTGCTTCCTATTCTACCATGCTGTTGGCCTGGAATTGTGCTGAAACCTCTTTTTTCGACAGTGATAGGCTGTGTTAAATGGGATATTTCCCTCGTGTTTTTCTGTGAGACTAAAGTTTGTCTCCAACTGGCACAATGGGTCTTTACCAAGACAGAGTAGCAATGGCTGGGGTGTGGCTCAGTGGTAGAGTTCATGCTTTGTATTCATGAAGCCCAGAATATGATCCCCAGCACCAACAAAACACAACTTAAAGTGTTAATCAACAATGGGAGTATTTAGTGTGTAGGAGAGAGAAGCATCACTTAAACTAGGGCTGGCCAGATGATTCACTGGGTGAAGGCACCTGCCACCAAGCCTGACAACCTGAACTCAATTGCTGGGTCCCACATGATGGAAGGTGAGAATTGACTCATAGGAGGTGTCTTCCAACCTCCGTATGTACACATAGAAGCACAGACACACACATACACTAAAATTTTTTAAAAATTTAGGGGCTAAAGAGATGGCTCAGTGGTTAAGAGCACTAGCTGCTCTTGCAGAGGACCTGGGTTCAGTTCCCAGGACCTGACAGCTGTCCAGTTCCAGGGGATCTGATGCCCTCTTCTGACTTCTGCAGGCATTGCACAACACTGATGCACTCAAATATGTGCAGGCAATACACTCATACACAAAAATTTTAAATTCTTAAAAATTTTATTTTCTGGGCATGGTGGTGCACACTTTTAATCCCAGCACCCAGGAGGCAGAGGCAGGTGGATCTCTGAGTTCAAGGCCAGCCTGGTCTACATAGTTCCAGGACAGCTGGGATTACAGGGAGACCCTGTCTCAAAAAGACCAAAAAAAAAATTTATCTTTTTAAAACTCCACAAACTATATCCTCTAGTTCCCTATGTAAAGAAAACTGTAGTGTCCGCACAGGGCAGTTGTGGCTGTTTAAAAGCGCCTTCACTCCCAGATTGTATTATTATTTTTTTTGGTCTTTTTGAGACAGGGTCTCCCTGTAGCCCCAGCTGCCCTGGAACTCACGATGTAGACCAGGCTGTCCTTGAACTCAGAGATACGCCTGCCTCTGCCTCCCGGGTGCTGGGATCAAAGGCATGCGGCACCATGCCCAGCCCAGATTGTGTTTTACAGTAGCCCCCTCATAGTCTGTTTTCAATCTAGAGCATTTAGACTGACCTGCACAGTCAAATTTTTTTTTTTCAGAGGTAAGGGGTCATGCTTCTAACAGAAGCTACCACATCCCACAGCAGGGGGCCATCCAGGGAGGAGCTCTGTGCCAGTCACCCAACCCTGACCACAAGGCCAGACAGCATGGTTTGCTCAGAGCCTAAAAACCCTGGAGTTTCACATAGAACAAAACAAGCAGCTAGAGGGCAAGAGACTGCTCCAAGGCTCTCTGGAATGGAGGTCAATACTGGGGAGCATTGGACAGATGCACAAGAAACAGCACCCAAGTTCCTGTCGAGCAGTCATTTGGTGGAGGGGAAGAAGGTTCTGGAGACAACTGGGGAGCAGGGCAAGGTAGGGTCTTGAAGGGCTTTGGGGCTGGATCAGAAGACTGCGCACCAGTAACTAATCACAGCTCTGGCTCCCAAATGGGAGAGGTGAAGGAAGAGGAGGGTGTGTCACTGACCGCCTTACAGTGGCCATACCTGGGTCACAGGATACATGGCCACTAGGTCAGAGAGCTTCTTCAGCCTGGGTAGGAAGGCACAGGGGTCTTCATATGACAGTGGCCCTTTTTGGAAGTATGGGCAGATAGGGTGATCAGATTTGTCTTCCATCACCTGCGGGCCGTCCTTAGGCAGGTGTTCTTGATAAGAGACCAGCTTTGGGGACTTTGTAGATTTCTTTTTGTGAAAACTTTCCCTAGTGAGACCCTTGTGGCCTGGCCCAGGAAAAGGTGGTTCAGCACCGACGCCCCCACCCCAAAAAAAATCACCAACCACAATCATATGGACTAGACTTAGAGCTAAGGTCTCCTTGAATTGGGCCTCTACCCCTGGAGGAGGTGGGTGACTGCTGTGATGGAAACATTGGTCCCTTTGATCCTGGATGACCTCTGTGAGGAGAGGACTTGAGATCACTAGGCTTTAGAGATAAAATATTCACTGGTGACCAGTATTGGGGATGTGAGGGAAGCAAGGGATTAGAGGATGAGTATGATTAACATACTTTGTACATATGTGTGGAAATGTCATAATAAATCCATTGTTTTATACAATTCACATATATTAATTTTAAAATAAAAAAATTTCAAATGTCCATTTGTGGGTGCTGGGAATTATAGTACCAATTATACATACGTGTGTGTATGTCTATATGTGTGTATATATATTTATGTGTATATATATTAGATTTGGTATTTTTCATTTCAAAAACTTAGTGCATGGAATGGGGATGTGCACATATGGAAGTTAGAGAACAACTTTAGGGAGTTGGTTCTCCATTTCTGCCATGTATATTCTGGGAATCAAACTCAGGTCATCAGGTTTGGCAGTAAGCATCCTTACCTTGAACTCAGATCTGCCAGCCTCTGCCTCCTGAGTGCTGTGACTAAAGGTGTGTGCCACCACACCCAGCAGTTTCTTTTTGAGATAGTCTCAAAAAAGCTCAGTCTTGCCTCAAACTCTATTTTTCTTGCCTCACCCTTCCAAGTTCTAGGGTTACAGGTTTAAGCCACCACACCTGACCTTTTTTTAGGGGTGGGTGCTTTTTGAGAGAGAGGGTCTCATAGCCCACAGTGACCTCAAACTTGCTGTGTAGCCAAAGATGGCCTTGAATACCCAATCCTCCTGCCTCCGAAGTGCTGGGATTACAGGCATGTGCCACCAAGTCAGCTGTGTGTGTGTGTGTGGTCTCTCTTTGCGGCAGTATCACTATATAACTAGGCTGGAAGTGAGCCTCTCCCTCTGACGTGCAGGGATTACAAGTACACGCCTCCTAACCAACTCAAGGCATTGAACCCAGGGCCTTGTGAGGAGCTCTGCCACTGAGCTACATCCCCAGCCTCCTGTATTTTCTTTTATAAAATTTCTATTTTTTATATTATGTTTGGGTGTTTTGCCCGCATATATGTAAGTACACCCATGTCGTACAATGTCCAGAGGCCAGAAGAGAGTGTCGGATCCCCTGGAACTAGAGCTATGCATGTTAGCTGCCATATGGATGCTGGAAACCCAACCCTGGTCTTCTGCAAGAGCAGTCAGTGGTCTTGACCACTGCTGCTCTCTTCCTCCCTTTGTTTTGAAGCTTAAGGAAGTGGAGGGAAGAGAAGGGAAAATTCCTGTTGTGTAGTACCAGTTTCTCCATCTGACTTTCTATAACCTCAGGCTTGCTTGCAAGCACTGCTTACTGGGGCTGTTTTTTCTTTGCAGGAGCCCTCCCAGTCATGGACCTGCTGTTTAACCTGGATCGGGTGACCGCCATGGAACACTTACTAAAGTCAGTCTTGTTGTACACTCTGAACAGCCCGGTTGCTTTTCCTTCTGCCGTTACCTGTGTGTGTGACCTGATGATAAAGGAGCCCCTGTCTTCTGGAAAGGGCCCCCCAAGAGCACCCTACTCATTTACCTTGAAGAACCACAGATGGATTGAAATCGACGTGACCTCCCTCCTTCAGCCTCTGGTGGTCTCCAGCGAGAGAAGCATTCACATGTCTGTCAATTTTACATGCACGAAAGACCAGGCCCCACAGGATGGTGCTTTTAACATGCCTCTGACAGTGTCTCCCTCGCTCATCCTGTATCTGAACGACACTAGTGCTCAGGCCTATCATAGCTGGCATTCTCTTTATCCTACCAGGAGGCCCTCACAGGGACCCGACCAAGACAGAAGCGTAGCCCATCCTGTGGAAGAAGCCACAGAGGTTGAAAGATCTGCCAGGCACCGGAGAGGGCAGGAAACCATCAATTTGGAATCGAAGAAGCCTCTTACACCTTCCTTCAATCTCAGCGAATACTTCAAACAGTTTCTTTTTCCCCAAAATGAGTGTGAACTCCATGATTTTAGACTCAGCTTTAGTCAGCTCAAATGGGACAATTGGATCGTGGCCCCACACAGGTATAACCCTCGTTACTGCAAAGGGGACTGTCCCAGGGCGGTCAGGCATCGGTATGGCTCTCCAGTGCACACCATGGTCCAGAACATCATCTACGAGAAGCTAGACCCCTCGGTGCCAAGGCCTTCATGTGTGCCCGGCAAATACAGCCCCTTGAGTGTGCTGACCATTGAGCCCGACGGCTCCATTGCTTACAAAGAATATGAAGACATGATAGCTACTAGGTGCACCTGTCGTTAGCACAGGGTCCTCCACACCAGCACCTTGAGCTGTTTGGCAAAGTGCGTGCTTGGCCCTACTGTGCCTGGGGAGAGCTTCACGTGACAAATCTCAGTGTCACTTAAAGCACATTGAGGAGGGGGAACACTTTCTGTGTGGCATCTAAGGGTATAAAGGACACACCGGTCATTGGCACTAAGCCTTTCTTCCAAACTCAGTGACATATAATTACTTGGAAGAGCTTTCTTTTTTCCTCTTCACACCAGTGTTATTTTTGATAGAAAAAACTTACTAGTGTACGACTTAGGTAGAATTGTAGCTGTGGACACTTCAGAGTGCTGTAGTTTTATGTACTAGAAAAATAAATCCTTGTCAATGGCATAAATTGTGTGTGTTCAATTAAATATCACTTATGTGCTGATTTGAGAGAGGAGGCATGTCAAGCTGTGGCTTGATTGTAGCTCTTTTTAAAAATTTTATGTGTATGAGTGTTTTGCCTGCATGTGAGTGCACCCATGGTCATGCAATGCCTACAGAGGTCAGAAGAGGGTGTTAGATACCCTGGAACGGGAGTTAACAGACGATTGTTAGTCACAATGTGGCTGGGAACTGAACCCAGGTCCTCTGCAAGAGCAATTAGTGCTCTTAACCACTGAGTTTTCTGACTTTGATACTGAATCCTGGTGAAGACTGTCATAGTACAGTTGGGGTGGCCAAGGTCGTCTCTGCGTGGGACTGGGTTACAATGTTAATTTTATTCATAATTAATGGTATAACACTTGTCCCATTCATTTAAGAGAAACTGCCTTACTGATTTTTCTAAGAAAAGCTATGTTCAAGTTTTGGGTTTTTAAATATGTATTTTACTTTTTAAAGATTTTATTTGTGTGTAAGGAAGGTGTTATGTACCTGTGTGTGCAGGTGCCCATGGAGGATGTTAGAGCCTCTGAAGCTAGACTTACAGGTGGTTGTGAACCACCAGACATGGGTGCTGGGAGCCAAACTTGGGTCCTCAGTGTAAGAGTGGTACATTCTTAACTATTGAGCAATCTCTCCAGCCCCTTTTAAAAAAACTTTTTAAGTTCTTTCACAACTTTATGCAATGTACTTTGATAATATGTTCCAAGTTTTTTTGTTTTCTGGGGGAGTTTTTGTTGTTTGAAACAGGGTCTCACATATTCCAGGCTAGCTCAAATTCACTGTATAGCCCCTAGGTTGCCTTAGAGTCCTAATTTCTCCTGCTTCGACTCTCTGGTGTGAGATGACAGCTATGTGTATAAAGATCTTATAATTTTTATCAATGTGTGGGGGCACTTGTGTGCTCCAGTGCACGTGTAGAGATTAAAGAACAGCCTTCAGGGTCTCCATACAGCTGTCCCTGACAAACCTGGCTCCAAACTAAATGCTGAACCAGATCGGACCACTTGAGAGGAGCGACTGCAGCAGAGCCATAGCATGGGAGGCTAAGGCCAAGCCCTGTGGTAGCTTTCCAGGGTCTTAGAGCAAATGGAGGGCGATGTGGGTTTGGATAAAGGCAAATCTGAGGTGGTGAAGCTCTTGGCTCATAACTCCAGAAGAGACCCTGGAGAAATTGAAAAGGGAGCGGGGAGGGAGGAGAAACTGGATGTCAGAGGGGGTCTGGGGCTGTAGCTCAATTTGTAGGTACTTGCCTAGCATACAGGAGGACATAAGTTTAAGTCCCAGTGCTATGTAAACCAGGCATGGTGGTGCACAACTGTAACCCCAACATTCAGGAGGTGGACACAGGAGGATCAGGAGTTTTCAAGGTCATCTTTGACTACATAGCAACTTGGAAGCCAGCAGATCCACCTGCCTCTGCCTCCTGAGTGCTGGGATTACAGGTGTGTGCCACCATGCCGGCCTTCCACCCCCAGGTTTTTTTTTTTTTCTTTTTGAGACAGGGTCTCTATAGCCCCAGCTGTCCTGGAACTCACTATGTAGACCAGGCTGGCCTTGAACTCAGAGATCACCTGCCTCTGCCTCCCAAGTGCTGGGACTACAGGCGTGTGCCATCATGCCCGGCTATCCCTGAGTTTTTAATTTAACTATAAAGAGGTTACTAAATGGAAAAATATATTTAAATGCACAAGCCTGTGTATATATGGGGGAATACATATATAAGAATACATATATCAAACTGCATTTTCACTGTATGTAACAACTTCTGACCTTATGGAAAGAAGCCAGGGACGTTTGGGGTTTATTTTCTCCTTTTTGCCAGTTTCCCTCAGTCTACATTTGGACTTCTCGGTGGGCTTGGAATTGCGTCCACTAAATAACATTGCCGGTGATTGTCCTGTTCCTGACTGGCCTTATGAGGGGCTAAGGATTTTTGTGGGATTTTTTCTTTTTGAGACAGCGTCTCCTATAGCCCAGCTGGCCTGGCACTCACTATGTAGACCAGGCTGGACTTGAATTCAGCAATCCCACCTGCCTCTCTCTTTCGAGTGCTGGGATTAAAGGCATGCACCACCACTCCTGGCTTTTTATAGTATTTTCACTAGAGTCACAGAGGTTCAGCCCTAAACCACCATTACCCTGTCCATAGGATGTCTTGCTTTGTGCTTGCATTGGAAACAAGCTAGGTGGATCTAGACTTGGCATGTCCTCAAGGTTCACCTTTATGTAACATGTATCAGCACTTCATTTTCTAGTGGGTGAATAGTACTTAGGACTGTACCACATTTTTTTGGTCTTTTTTTTTTTTTTCAGACAGGGTCTCCCTGTAGCCCAGTTGGCCTGGAACTCACTATGTACACCAGGCTGGTCTTGAACTCATAGAGATCTGCCTGCCTCTGCCTCCTGAGTGCTGGGATTAAAGGCGTGCACCACCATGCCCGGTGATATACCACATTTTAAAAATTTTATGTTTTTGCTTTTTACATGTTTTGCTTGCATACATGTTAGTGCACCCATGCATGTAATGCCGCAGAGGCTAGCAAAGGGTGTCAGATCCCCTGGAACTAGAGTTATGTGCTATTAGCCATGATCTAGGTGCTGGGAACTGAACCTAGGTCCTCTGCAAGAACAGCCAGTGCTCCTAGCCACTGAGTCATCCTTCCAGCCCTGACTATACCACATTTTTGTCTCTTTTTGATAAAGATTTTAAGCATTCCTCTTTGTTTTGCTATTGTGAATAATAGCACAAATAGACATCTGTTTCATTTCTCTTGAACCTTGGAGTAGAAGTGCTCAGATGGATCTCTCTCTCTCTCTCTCTCTCTCTCTCTCTCTCTCCACTCTTTTTTGTGGGGTGTTTAATTTTTTGAGAAGAGAGGATCTCATCCTGTAGCCTTGACTAGCCTAGAGCTCACTATGTAGACCAGGTTGCCTCAAACTTGGAGCTCTACCTGCCTACTGCTGCCTCCTGAGTGCTGGAATTAAAGGCGTGCACTACCAAGCCCGGCTTCTCTTTCGCTCTCTTGCTCTCACTCTTTTAATTTTTATGTGTATGAGTATATTGCCTGCTTGTATGTGAGTACACTCATGTCCTGCAATGCCGAGGTTAGAAGAGGGCATTGAGGGGCTGGAGAGATGGCTCAGTGGTTAAGAGCACTGACTGCTCTTGCAGAGGACCCGGATTTGATTCCCAGCACCTACATGGTGGCTACAAACTGTCCTTAACTCCAGTTCCTCTTTTGACCTCCACAGCATTGCATGACAGGAGTGCACTCACATACGTGCAGACAATACATAAAATAAAAATAATAAAATATTAAAAAAGAAGAGGGCATTGGATCCCCTGGAACTGGAGATATAAATGATAGCTATTGTGTGAGTGCTGGGAATTGAACCCGGGTCCTCTGGGAGAGCAGTCAGTGCTCTTTAACTGCTGAGCCATCTCTCCAACCCCATCTCACTCTTAAACATTTTATTTTAATTGTGTGTGTATGTCTAAACATGGATGTGTGCATGTGAATTCAGGTGCCCTTGGAGGCCAGAGGCCATGGATTCCCTGGAGTTGGAGTTATAGGCAGTTGTGAGCTGCCTCATGTGGGTGATGGAAGCTGAACTCGGATCCCCAGGGAGAGCAGCAAACACTCTTAATCACTGAGCCTTCTTTCCGATCTATCTGTACATGCCCAACTGTGTAGTATCTCTCTATCCGTTTGAGGGTCTGCTAGAGCTGTACTGCTGGCTCTGTTTTCATCTTGTGTACTGAAATACATAATGACATAACAGCTTACTATTTTATCCATATTTAAGCATAAGGATCAGCAGCTGTAAGTCCATTCACACTATTGTCCCACCAACACCATCCCTGGAACTTTGCCATCAGCCCAAACAAACTTTATTCATTAAGTGACAACTCCGTTTCTCCCTTCCCTGCTGCCCTAGCAAAGACCATCCTTGTGGTCTCTGAACTGGTCTCTTCTGGGTGTCTCTGACATGTGTACTCATCCAATATTTGTTCTTTTGTCTTATTTCAGCACAATATTTTCAATGTATTGGGTTTTTTGAGACAAGGCCTCATGTAGCTCAGGCTAGCCTACAACTCAAAATCTTCTGCCTCAGCCCAGTTTTTGAATTTTTATTACATTTTTCTCATGTGGGTATGTATGCACAGATGCATGCATGCATGTGGCATGGCTTAAAAGTGGGGGTCAGAGGACAATTTAAGAGAGTCGATTCTCTCCTTCCACTATGTGGGTCCTAGAGATAGAACTCAGGTCCTCAGGCCTGGTAGCAAGCACTCTTACCTGCTGAGCCATCTCGCTTGCCTTGGTTTTTATTTTTTTGCATAGCCTTGTACTGTGGCCAAGTGTGCAATGCAGTATAACATCTGAAGGGTTCCCTTCCCCCCTTCTTTTTTTTGCCAGTGCTAGAAAGGTGCAGTTTTGATAAAAGTTGGGGATTTAGCATCATTGCCAAAGTTTAGGAGTAGAAAAATGAAACTTGTTAAAGTTTTTAAAATCTAACTTTTTTGAATGTTTGCTGTCCAGCCAAGTAATGATGCATTGAGAGGCTGTAATCTTGGCACTAAATTTTGGAGCCGGGCA